GTTTTTTGGTGAAGTTTAAAGCAAAAATAATTGTTCATCCACTGTAATCAAAATTAAAAAGATATACTGATGGGTTAACTATTAATTACAGGTTTATTGGTGTTTGTATGGATTATACATGTGACTGTACGTGGTTAAGGGGTGGGAATTGAATATGCAAAACAAAATTTTGACATTATGCTTTGTGCTGTATTTTTATTTTTTATTTTTTCAAAAAATAAAATAGAATTTGACTAATTTTACAGAAACGTCTGTCTTGCAGCTTTCATAGACAACAGCTTGTCTAATTGTTGGACCATCAAAAAGAAAAATTTAAATGCACTTTAACCGTTTGGAGCTGGAAATGGCTTTCTGTGTTAAAGATCTCTCTCTCAGCTGAACATCCCTTAAAGAGAGCAAACACAGTGAACACAGATTACTGAGAGAGTGAATTAGGGTTTATGTATGTTTCACTGTATTAAAAAGCAATTTAGCTGCTTTCAATCAGACTGATGTTAAGGGTTGCATTAAAGGTGTCCGGTTATACTCTGCGCTTAATTCAATTAATAAACATCCTCCATCCGATCTTAATTGAGTTTGCCTCCAGACCACAGCAGCACAAGTGGCTGGGAAATGTAAAGCAAACAGAGCAGCCTGGCGGTGCGGTTATGCTGGAGTGGATTAGTGGAAACTGGAAGAGAAGAGTCATTATGGGGGTTGGAAATGTCCTTTTAAGTCTCACCCACACGGGGACAATTTTAGGTGGATCCACAAACGTTTTTTGTTGTTAAGGCTGTGCGTTCACACAGATTCAGCACCTTACACCAAAAATTATGATTTTTTTTTTTTTATTTATTTATTTATTCAGAGTGGATAGATTTCAGAATACTGGTTTCATGTTTATGTAGCTCCACCTAACTCTGCATTGCGCATGTGCCTCACTCTTACAAATAACAAAAATTGCGTGTTCAGTAGGGTTCCCAGATCTGATTACTTAAAACCTTCCCAACTCCAAAAAACAAGCCCCATGAATCAGGGCTTTGGGAAATTTAAAAAAAAAAAAAAAAAAAAAAGTTATTCTAAGTAAATTCTAAGATACTCTAGAAGAAACAAGGGAGTTTGAAACGTTTAATATTTGGGTAAAGAAACTGAAATTTTCTGATTAATTTCAGATTTTCTACAAAAAAATTTAAAATTTTCAGTTTCAAAAGTAAAACAATTCCTAGGGAAATAAAAATTCATAAGTTTTGAGATTAATCTCAAAAATCTTCTAGAAAAAATATTGGAATTTCGAAGTTTCAGAAGTTGAAAATGTTCTTTTTGTTGTTGCTAGGTAACGCCAGTGTTACCTTGATACCTAGGTACCTAGGTGATACTGCAGTGCCCTATAAAATATGACTTAATAGTGGGGAGGTTTTTCAAACAGCTCATTTTCCAGTAACTAAAAAAACCCATCAAGCTATTGCCAAAAAATGTCTGGGTGGTGTTTTTTGAATTCTTGGATTGTTTTTAGAAGCAGCAGAGACCCAAATGGAAAAAGAAAAACGTGAAATTTGCATAAAATGCCCCCTCTAAGTTCGAAAAAGGGTAACTTCAAAGTAACCCTTGAAGTTGCTAGTCAAAGGTAACTTGTGAGTTTCAGGAATATCTGTCAAGTTCCAGGAAAGTACTGGCCATCCAACATGTTGCAGAGCGATGCGGTTTTATTTCTCCACTTGTACATTGATAGTTTGTTCTCATCTCAGTATCTCCTGTTAAAGAAAACTAAGCAGTTTGAAGCACCAGAGGGAACTCTTTAATGTGGAATCTCCTCAGGAGAAAAGTGAGGCTAAGCGGCTCTGACAGTAAACCAAGGCTGTGGCTGAAACATGTTGGCATGCCAGATGAGATAGATGGTGAGCCCACAGGTCCAGGGAGACGACTTGTAAAGTCATCTGTGATTCATGCGGAGAGAGTCGGTTCCCTGGAGGTCTCTGATTAGTACCCTGCTGTGAGAGCCACAGGACGCGCTGCTGAGCAACGTCTCCTACAAACGGCTGTGGACAGGAACGTCTGTGTGCTTCTCACCAAGCTTGCTACTTATTCATTTGAGCTTTTTTTTTTTTTTCTCCAAACTTATTGTTCTTTTTGTTGTGTTTTTTGGTTTATAAGGATATTTTATAAGTAAAATATACGTAACACGATTAGGGTAACTGGAAAAAAAGAATTCTGACTTTAATCTCAGAATTCTGATTTTAAATTACCAATTCAGACTTTTTTCTCAGAACTTTGGTTTTAATCTTAGAATTCTGACTTTAAAAAAAAAATTGACTGTTTTCTCTCAGAAGTTTGACTTTTTAATTTTACCTTTTTTTCACTCAAAATTCTGACTTTAATTACAGAATTCTGATTCCAATCTTAAAAATCTTTTAATCAACATTGTTCACATTTTTTCATGCTCCATCAGGCTAATATTGTCTTAAAACTCAAATCCACCAAATAAATTTGGGACAGCCTTTCAGTGTGGCTGCTGGTAATGTTTGTTCCTTTTTTTATTTATTCTTTTATCTGCTGTTGATTTTTGTTTTAAGGCCTGACACTTTATTTGTTGTTGTTGCACCATACATCTACATACAACAAAGCAAACTGTCATATTCAGGTACAAATACTGAATTAGTGAAAAAAATCTATAAAATCTATAAAAGTTCCAAATAAAGAAGTTAAAAAAAAACCTGCAGAAGTCGTGGACTATGGATCAAGACCAATTTTAAGAATATGAAATAGTCTGGTTGCTTGTGTAAAGAAAAAAGCTGATAAGTTTCCACATGAATTTAAATTTGTTTGGAAAAGCTAAGGTAAGATTACCATTTTCCCAGTGTCACAGTAAATACATTTTATCATAAATAATATTGCACGTATGAAGTAGAAAGGATCATTTTAATGCATAACAATTTGAAATGCTCAGTGAAAGAAATCAAACCCTGAATGGCCACATTTCAGAGCAGCCCCATTCACTTCCAAGTAGCTCTTGATAAGCCTGAAGTTGTTAAGCTGCTGCGCATTTTCCCCGCTGATATAAACTTCCTTATTCTGTATAATATGTTGGTCTTCTTAAAAGAGCTGAGGTAAAGGAAAACCCTGCACATATTCACACAATCAGCAGCTGCCACAGTGTTGCTCACAAATTACATTTCTAAGTCAGTGGTCATTGCAGAAGAGAGAGAAAAATAAATTGGATCCCTCTTTAGGGGCTGCATGACTGTGATTTTTATACTCTGAAGTATGTATTTTTCTCCATAGAGTGTTTAAAGCACCTCGTCAAGGACTATAAAAGGTTAAATTAAATCTATATAGCATTATTTTTGTTTTAAAAATATCAAACACACATTATTTTCTACTTGATTTAACAATTGAGCCTCAAACTTGACTTGATCTAAAACAGTTTCTCAACCCTGGTCCTCAGCGCCCCCTGTCCTGCAAGTTTTAGGTGTTTCTTCTGCCACACACCTGCATTGTATCTCTGGGTGATTAACAGGCTTCTGCAGTATTTGATGGTCATGCAATCATTTGAATCAGCTGTTCTGGAATAGAGGCTCATCTAAAACATGCAGAGCAGGGAGGCGGTGAGGACCAGGGTTGAGAAACACTGATCTAAAAAAAGGGGGAGCAAAATCAACTTAAATCGAATTGATTTGAATGTGAAACGGAAGGATTTAAAAGCATAATAATTCCACTTTTTTCCTTTCCGTGTGTTAAAAAACAAACACATACCGGTTGGTGTGTGGACATCCAGCCGGACCAGTGTCAGTTTCATCACGGCCATCATTGCGCTGAGGAAATAAAACTTTGCAACTAATTTTAAATCTCACTCTCTTCCGTGCCTCATGTGAACTTTCCAAGTTGCATGCCATCTGTGGTCTGAGACGCATGTCAGCGTTGTCAGTGGGATTGTGGGTATGCGGCGTGACTAATGCAGACGCGTATCAGAGAAGCAGCCAGTTTGATATTACAGTCCTCTTCAGGGACAAAACTGATCCTTGGCTAAAAAACATTCATTAAAAAAAAGAGTCACTTTTGTGTCAATCTCTTATCTTCTGTACTGATTAAAGGATGGGGAAAACATGGAAAATAATGCACATATTAAATAGGTTAATTTTCCACCATATGATTTTTATTTTAAAATGGGGGAAATTTATTTTTGATTGGTTGTTGACTCATCTTCAGCACTTGAAATGGCATCAATCAGTCCATCACTGATTGGGTGATATTCAAGACCCACAAATGTCAAGATAGCAATTAGTTAGCAATTAGTGATTAGACATTTTCTCAAGGATATATAAAATAGTCTGACCTTTTTAATACCTGTTGAACTGAGGCTCCAGCTACACTTCTGTGGATATTTCTTTAAACAGATATTTTTCTATTTTTTAATAGATATCTTTGTCTGTACAGTCCGTTTTCTCCATAATTTTATAGTCACTCATTGTCATTTCACACCTTACTATGAACATTTCCTACCCTCAGTATCAACTATTTTCTTCTCAACCATGATCAATGTTTAATTGCATTTAAACAATAACTAAGTCTTACTTAAGCATCTGCAGTCATCTTGCATTTCATTCCACTTTTACGTCAGTAGCGTGAGACATGCATCATAATTCTCCACCAGAACAAGCCAAACGTAGTAAATCCGGACATAAAGCCTGGCTGAAGCAAGCAGTGCCGACACTTTGGATGCAGTCTTTGTCTTGGACTCCTGTAAACGGAGCGCTGTTGTGTGACGTCTAACTTGTAGGACACAGACATCTGACTGCGGTTGCATTTAATTTGGATGAACAGCCATCCAAGAAAAATCGGATTTCAGAAAAAAATCGGAATTGAGCACCAAAACCTGCAGTGTGAACATGGCCTTTAAGTCAGCGGTTCAGGCAGGATGATGATCATCTGCACCTGATCTGGTTAGATAGATGTCCCTAAAACATCTCATATTAATGACAAAATCTGTTTGTTTTTCTTTTTTCTTTTTTTTTTTTACTTATTAGGTCAACAAGACAGAGGACAAGTCTCTGGAGGAACGGGGTCGGATCATGATTTCCCTCAAGTACAACACCCAGAAGTCTTGCCTGGTTGTGGGCATCATACGCTGCGCTCACCTTGCTGCTATGGACGCCAACGGCTTCTCCGACCCCTACGTCAAAACGTCAGTGTTCAGACACCTGCACATCCCCTCATGCACAAAACCATTTTATAGAGCAAATTTCACAATATTTAAAAGTCATCTGCAACTTTTCTAAATTAGATCTTAAAATGAGCCTTTTAAATCCATCTATACTGATGTTTTTGGGGCACATTCATACGCACTACAATTATAATTAGATTTACTTTATTATTTCTAAATGAATAAGCAGCACAGAATATCTTCACATTTCACATTCTTGTAAGTTGCCAAGTTTTGTTCCCTGTTCCAATGCATTTTAACTTGCTAACACCGCCTGCCCTTTAATTTATATTCACAAAGATATATATTTCCATTGTGCTTCATCAGTCAGAAGTAGCACAAACCCAAAAAATTTGGAAAATGTCTGTTTATCTTTTAATAAGGCAGCAGTCCAAATACCTTTTAATATTTAATATTTTTAATGATATACAGATCACATAAAAATTGTTTATTGTTGAGCAGGAAAACCTAAAAAAAAAAGGGGGAAAAAAATCACAATAAATTAACTATTACATTTTTAACTTAGTAAATTTTGTGGCCTGCCAGCAGTTTAAATATGTAAGTTTGGACACCACTGCTTTATGCCATACATTTGGTGAAATTTGAATTTGTTAGACACAAAATTTGACTTCTGAAAAATGACTTGAGAACATCTTTGTCCAGAAGATTTCTTGGCTTTTTAGAGGTTTCTTTTTTTTCACCAACAGCCAAAAATATAAATATCCAAACAGAGTTGTTAGCCTAAAATAACATTGGCACATGAGGATTCACTTCCTTTCCTATCCAAACACTGGAAAGCTATTTTTAGCTCGTGCAAGACAATGTAGAAGTGTCGAAATGGATTATCTGGCAGAGCTGATGTTGTAGCAAAAAAGATGTCGACAACCTGTGATTATCAGCAGCATGAAAGACAAGCGTGCGAAGAGGCCAGGCGAGGGGCTGCAATTTGAAGGAGAGTCCTATTTATCACACCTGAACATTTTTCCCCAAGTCTTTCATCTGGCTGAGCAATGGAAGTGCAATTAATTTCTGACTCTTCTGTGCACACCCTGAGAACAAAAGCAGGACTTGTTTCAGAAGAGAAAAGCTGGCAAAACATTTTTCAACAGTCTGAGGTGGAGGAAATCTTCATAAAGCCTGAAGGACGCAGTGCAGGAAAACGAGGGATACAAAAGTTTTCACACCTCTTAAGATTCTCAATGTTCAGTCATGTTACAACCTCAATCTGTTTTATTGTATTTTTACATTAAGAAAAGCACAAAAACTGACCTCGAAGATACTTATACATGCACAGATGTTAGCATTTCACTGTTCTGTATACTACACTGAGCGCTACGCTGTCCGGTAGTTCTTTTAGCTTTACATCATGCTGTAATGTTATTCCCTCATCAAAAACATGCCTGGGGTGTTACTTTTAGGGCTAAAACGATTAAACTAGTTAATCATGAAGAATCGATTTGAAATAATAGTCAACTAATTTAGTAATTGGATCTACATAGGTGCCCTTTGTCACCNCCTGGAGGCGGGGCGCTACATCCCCCCCACCGCCAGGAGGCGGCACCCCGCTACAGAGCCGAGTCGGCCGGTGGAAACGCGGTCACTCCGAAATAGAGCCGAGCTGCAAAGTTTTTACCAGCATTTCACTGAGAAGAAGCTCAGCAGATGTGTAGTTCAACAAGGTGTTTGCTAATTGCTGCTAGATAGTCTGAAGGAGCTGAGTGGGAAAGGGCTCCTCTGTGAAGCTGCAGCTCAGAGGAGGAGCTCTGTGAGATCATCTGGTCACCTTGAATGTTTGCCAAGGAGATTAAAAGATCTCATTAAACAAAGACATAAACACAGTCTTTGATAGCATTTTAACATGATATTAAGCTAAAAATATTGATCTTATATAATGTCCACCAGATTACATGAGCTTTGTTTTCTGTTATGTATCCATTGTGCCTCTGTCTCATCTTGTGTAGTTTATTATACCTGAAGAAATCCAGTTCCCATTACATGCTTTTTAATTAAATTGATTTTATTGCCACATTTAAAAATATAATTTTGTATTGTTAATCAGTGAAAATAATTTGCATTAAATTCAAATTTTAATTTGAAGAGGAAATACCCTTACAGTGCCTCTGTTTCTCATCAACACAACTTGGAATGTTTTTTTTTTCACTATCTGAGGCAGCAATACTTCAGAAGGTGATTATTAATGAGCTTTTAATGGAGAGATAATCTGATACATCTGTTCAAGTTAGACTTTGCAGAGACAGAGATTTTGGTCAGAGAAGAAACAATTTCATTTTATTTTTATTTCATTACAACAGCACAAATTAATCAAAGATACCACAATTCATGGCAGTGTAAATATGTAGAAATGATCACAATAGCCTGGAGGACTGGGCTGATAAGTGTACTGAGCTGTGAAAAAAGTTTTTTATGGTTATTTTCAGTTTTTGCTTGTTTGCTCATACTCAACAGTTTCAAATCCTTAAACTAATTTTGATATCAGACAACAAATCTGCTTTAGGCCCAGCAACAGAAATGTGTGTTTTTACAGCTTTCTTGCTTCAGTTTTTATGATTTGAAATTATGATTTCAAACCACCATTTGGCCAAATTAATTCATAGCCAAAACTAGACTCATTTTGTGGCACCACAGTGGACACTGCAGGAAGTTCCAGGACTGGAACTCAGATGATGCCAAAAAGACGGTTCTGGAATAAAAGATACATTCTACATTGGATCATTGTAAGTTAAGCATCCTCCCAGAGCAACTTTGCCAGTGGCCATTCTGGCTTATTCACCACAATGAAGCTGATGCCCTTTGGCAAAGTCTATATTGTTCAATACATGAAAACCAAATAAGCCATATCATTATTATACCTGCTTCACACACACACACACACACCCACACACACACACACACACACACACACACACACACACACACACACACACACACACACACACATTAGCATCGGACTGCAGCACGAGTAGGCTTCATGAAAGCCACATGTTTTCTCTTTGATAAGTTATGCAATCTACTTTCAGCAGTCTCCCTCCACACATAAACACACACACATACACAGATACTTGTACATAAATTCTGCAGTGTGGTTTAATAATTTTCTGCAGTCTCTGGAAAATTTCTGATGAGACAGCACACTCTATGTCTCACCCCTGTTTTCTTTCTTACATAATGAAACATACACACACCTCTGAGGACACACATGTTTATACTGAATTCCCTTAAAAGGATAAAATCTGAGATCACCAGAAAGTATTCCAATCTGAAACTTGCTTTTCAAACTCATGCCAAGAAAGAAGTGTTTAAATCTTCTACGAGTTTTGTTCTGCAGTCTTATTAAGATGTTAAGATCTTATTAAAAATAGAAAAACATTTTTTTTTTTTTATCTTAGAAAAGCCCCAAAGTGTCTGAACCATCTGTTGAAGCACATAAAACCTGACAAGGACCACTTTTATTTTACACCAAAGATGGTTCTCTAATGTATTTGTTCCCAACTGTAAAACATCCAGTCAGGACACCCCTAACCATCGGCACTTTGGTGGCTTTTATTTTGACAGGTCCTCCGCTAAACTTGTTTGTTTTGAACAGTGCAGCTGATAACTGCCGTGTCCCTTTCCAGTCCTCAGATGTATTGATTCTCAGTGATCTCTCCTAGTCAGGCTTCCCTAGTGCTCTGTGGCCACGGTTCTACAGCCGCCTATGGTGGCTCAGAGGGAACACAACTGCATCTTAATTAAGTTTCTTTCACAACCAAGCAAAAAAAATCAGCACCTTCAACTCACTTTTCTGCTGTTATAACACAAGCAACTGTATACTGAGCTGCAAACCAACATGGGTACTCAAGAGATGAGGACTGATGCAGTTTGAATGCTGTGGATATAGAATTTTATATTCATCTGCAGTCTGGAGATTGACTCCACTTTTTCTAACCTCAAAACATCAACTGTATTACCTTGTCTGTAAAGGAAAGTGTGATGCTGATCCAAAGCCTCTAGATGGCACCATAAGCACAGCAGTGAATCAGCGTTCTTCTTTCCACTCACCTCATGGAGGCGGTGAGAGGTAATCTTCTAGGAATCCCACTGCAGCTGTAATGAGGGGAATATGGAGAGAAAGGATGAGGCATGTTTGTTATCTCACAAGTATTCCCACCCATATAGGTTTCAAACACTCTTGTTTTAACCTGTCATTCACTAGAGGACCCAAATTTGGGTCCTCTAGTGACAGGGGTGTCAAACTCCAGTCCTCCAGGGCCTCTGTCCTGCAACTTTTAGATGTGCCTCTGCTGCACCACACCTGAAAAAAATAATTAGGTCATTAACAAGGCTCAGGAGAACCGATCTACACAGGGAGGAGGTAATTAAGCCATTTCATTCCACTGTTTTTTACCTGTGGCACATCTAAACACTGCAGGACAGCGGCCCTTGAGGACTGGAGTTTGACACCCCTGTCATTGTGAATGACAGGTTAAATAACACACGCTGGAGCATTGAAGACATATTGAGAAGGGAACAGACATTTTTCATCTTCTGAGTGAACACAACTACACAGCCCATCAACAGCGGAGCGTTTCCCATCCACTGGGAGCGCTGGTGAAACACAGCTGGTAATGGAAAACATCAGGCCTGGTGTGCAGACCCAAATTTATTGGAAACAACAGTATGATGATGTCAGTGACCTGTGCAGAGAGAAGCAGAAATCTATCTGGAGAAGCCCAACCTGCCAGGCTAAATGAGGCTGATGCTCTAGGCTTGCGTTTTGAGGCCGGATCGAGCGTGTGAGAGGAACAAACTGGATTTTTAATTCTGTTCTGGATTTGGGTGTGGTGAATAAATGGGTGATGGCGTCTGAGTGCACACTATGAACCCGCCGAGGCGTTTCAAATGTTAGTGTTGGCCGGCCTGTTGTGGACTCTAACTAATGTGGTGGATCTCTGGACGGAAAGGGGAAGAGCTTTCCGTCTCTC